GAGGGCCTCTTGTTGCAAGCAGGAGCTGCATGAGGGGTTTGCAGCTGCTCCCTACCCCAGGTGGGGTCAGCACTTGGGCTTGGTCTGAGCTATTGGGGTGGTCAGTCCGGCGACTTACTCGGTGGCCGGGTTACCTGTGTGGAAACTGCATCAGTGCCACCAAGTCACGCGGCGGCTCCGACAGCCGAACCGCATCCTCTGCAAGTGGTGCTGGCCATGCGCGTTGCTGGGAGAGTGTATTGCCTGGCTTGGTGTTGCGTTGGGAGCAACCACCAGGACCCCTGGTTTTCTGCAGGGGGTTAGAAACTGCGAACACAAAGTGCTCCCGGGTTCACTTCCAGCCTGATTTTCTGTTGGTGCGCATGAGCTGGGCAGGAGCTTGCCCAAAATTACTTGTTGGATCATGCCGCCTGCGGTGTAGAAAAGGGACTTTCACTTTGTGGAGTCTGTGAGCAATTCCTAAGGGTCCTGGAAAGGCTGCAAAGTTTCATGCTCCTAGCAGGAGATTTGAAATCACTGCCTGCATGCTTGTCAGGGGCTCTGCGGGTCAGACAGCTGGAAGGTCTCCAGGTCTGGAGGAAACTCGGTGGCCACTATCTTCTGGGACTCCCATCCAGTAGCAGGACTTGCTCCCTCTCCCTTTCAGATGGAGCAAGTCCCCTTACTGCAATGCAGAAGATGCACAGGATATTGATTCACTTTCCAAAAGTTAAGGGTAGTGGGTATAAGATCAAGGCTGAATAGTGCCCAATAAAAGGCAGAAGCCCCTGCAGCAGCAAAACAAGCACTGGGTTAGTTGAGTCATTCATATTAGCCAGGCTTTACCCCGTAACAACAAGCCACGGCACCTGCTAAATCTCAAGCTACTGCCTTTAGCGGAGCGAGGCTTCCCAAGAGGGGAAGGGGAGAAGCTGTCCCGCGGCTCCGGGCCTGCCCCAGCTCTGCGAGGCGTCAGGCCTGGCTTTGTGCCTCCACCTGGCGACCAGAGCGGGTGTTGCAGTTCAGCCGGATTGGGTTTTATTTGGGGCTCACCAGGGAGGTGTTCTGGGTGGGGTGATGGGAACGAGCAGATCTTGCTCCTCTCTGTAAGGACAAGGTGTATAAATAGACATCTCTTCGCTTTCTCCTGCCCTGCCTTTGTAGCGATATGCTATGGGATGCTTGTCGTGACTTGTCCCGCCTGCCTTCGCGCTGCAGGCGGGATGCACGCTGACTGGGGTGTCCTTAGGTCCCCGCGGGGCGGCTGAGGATGAAGGAGGCACCGAGTCAAACGCCACCCCCCGGCCTCCTACCTGGATCGCGGTGTTGGCGGGGGCAGGTTTACCCTTCTCTGCTCCCCACCTCCTCCTGTCACATAATCCACTTAATCCCCTGACGATAGGACTCTATTACTGTCAGCTCTGCGGAGCCAGTATTGCTGACGGGCAAGCTGTCCCCTCCGTCTTGCATCAACAAAAGAGCTAGCCAAATCCCCAAATCCGGAGTCTTGGTGCCTCCAGCAGTGATCCTACAAAGCAGAATAAACACAGCTTGATTTAATAGGTATCCAGTTCTCCTCTTAGCCACTTTAAAAACAAAACCTCTCATGTTTACAGGTATTTAACAAATGTGGATAAACCTTAGTGCTTTTCTTACCGAAGGCAACTTTGGGAGCTGCTTGATGTTACCGGGTCACACTGCGGGTCCAGTTCAGCCTCAGCTGCCCTGGGAGGGAATCCAGAATCTGGATGGGAGTGCCAGAGGGTGGATGGGGTCAGGGAGTCTGAGTCTGTAGCTGTTGTTTTAGCTGTGTGCTGAGTCTTGGCTCTGATCTGCATCCTCAAGGCTGCTGTTGAAGAAAACCAGTGTTGAGGTTTTAACGTTGTGGAAATCTTTTCCTTGGCTCCTGTTGTCTAAGCAGCGGGGCTGAGGTATTGCAGGTCCCTCCTTGGGACCGGAGCTGGATTTAGGCCTGGGAGAGGGACCTTTGGTTCTAGCTCCTGAACGTACTGCAGTCTGTGTGGGGCTTGGTGTGTGGCTAAGGCTGTAATGGCTTGATGCCCACCAGGCTTCCTTAGCACCCTCGGACAGTGCCTGTGTGTTCTCGCCCTTCCCCCTGACTGGCTGTAGCCAACTTGAGGAAAGATGAACACACAACATCCCTTCTCCATGCCCTGTGTCAGTAGTCTGGGGCTAACCGCTTGCTGTGGCACTGGGATCCCTTAAACCCTGCCCCAGCTTACCTTATTTCCGGGGTGTCTTAACCTAGAACCAGTCACTGGGAATGGGGACCTCTCCTGTCCCAAGGAGAGGTGGGTGGCAGCAGATGCTCCTGTTGGCTCAAGCACTGCGCATTGGCTCTGGAGTTGTCCAGTGGGCTCTAGGCAGCTGAACAAGCTGTGTGTCGCTCCCCAGGTGGTGGTCTCTCCAGAAGATCATGCTCACCAGAAGATCACACCAAAGAACAGCCTGTCCCACTTACCTTTTCCTCTTGTTTCCTGCAGGGGTCCTGACAGCTGGAGAGCACAACTTTCCCTTCCAGTTCCTGCTGCCAGGTATGATGCTGATAAACGGCTGAAGGCATTTGTGTGTAAGCCTTGGCTTTTGCAGCCTCTCGAGCTGTGCTGAGCAGGACTTGGGCTGGATGGCAAAGGCAGGCTGGCGGCTTGGCTCGGAGATGCTAGAGGGAGTGTAAGGTCAGCCGCAGACAGCAGAGGAGCTTAGGCCTTCTGCGTTGGTGCAAAGCTGGGTCTGAGCTGTTGCTGATGCCTCTCCAAGCATGACCCCGTGAGGTCTCTGGGTATGCGCAGGGGCCATGCCAGCCATCCTGTACACAGTGTGCCCTCAGAGAGAGGATCTCTGCTCTTGAACTTGTGGTTGCAGAGGATCCCTTCTGCAAGGAGGTTGCAGCAGGGTCTCCAAGTGACTTAACTGTTCAGTCCCAGGTCTTTTGGCAGGGGGATCCCTGACTCTAAAATGCTCGTGGAACTCTTTAGGTGAAGAGGAAAGCTGTTTAAAGAGACTAGCTATTTCCAGTTCAGAAACGCTTGGCCTGACTCAACCTTATGATCCTTTTCTTTCTCTTTACTCCAGCCTCTGCTCCTACATCATTTGAGGGCCCTTTTGGCAAGGTCCTCCATCAGGTGAAAGCTGTGATAGACACACCTCGCTTCTCCAAGGACTACAAGTGCAACAAGATTTTCTATGTTCTCTGCCCTCTCAACTTGAATGACATCCCTGACATTGAGGTAAGAACAAGGAGGAGCGTGGCTGGGAAGTGCCAAGGCTTCAGGACTTGTCCTTGTCCTGCATTCTGTCTGGGGAATAATTGTGTGGTTGGACAAGTGTCTGACTGCATGCCCTGACTGTGCAAGAGCAGAGCAAGGACTCCTGATCTGTCCTGCCTTGCCATTCAGTCCCTGCTCCAAGTGATTTTTGACTCTTCTGCATGTTGCTTTGAAAGATTTAGGTGAATTTTCAGCATGCGGAGAGAGGCGTTGGCCCAATAGCACCAGGTGCTGGTAGAGACCTGGGTTTGGGGAACTTACTTTGGAGGGAAGAGTGACTAATAGGACAGCAAATCTGGGGGGATGAAGAAGTGAGATCTGTTGCCTGTGGCAGTGCTGTGTTGCTGGTTCTTTGTGTCCTCTTAGACCAGATATTTCTGCTTGCTTGTTTTGAATCTCTTGAGTTTTTTTTCTGGAGGCTCTGACTCTCTTGAGCCATCATCTCTGTCTCTGCTCTCCTGCAGCAGCCCAACACTATGTCAATCACCAAGAAGTTCAACTACAAGCTTGTGAAAAGTGGCAACATTATCTTGACCGCCACCTCGGATCTGAAAGGGTACATCGTGGGGCAAGCAATCCAGCTCCGCACCGACATAGAGAACAAATCGGGCCGGGACACCGGGGCTGTGGTAGCCAGTCTGCTCCAGGTAAGCATCCGGAAGGGTGATTCTTCAGCTTGTGCTGGTACTCCACCCCCCTGAGGCCTCTGTGAAACTGGGGCAGTTCTCACCAGTGTGCATCTCTGCTGCGTGTGGTTGGGAGGTGGCAGCAAGGAGTCCTGACCTCTGGCTAACTCTATTTCTCTTTACCTTCCTGGGGAAAGAGGGGTAGAACTTGTCTTGCTTATACCAGCTCTATCATATAATAATGGGTATTACTGCTCTGTAACATGCGTGTTAGGTTTGTGCTCATGCTTATTTGACAAAGCAGTTGGGTGGTTTTGTGTCGTGATTTAAGTTTGCAGGAGACAGAAGAGCATCTGCAAGCTTTCTGCTAGCTGTATATTCTCCTGTCTGTACAGAAAGTGGCCTATAAATCCAAGCGCTGGATTTATGACCTGAGGACCATTGCGGAAGTGGAAGGCTCAGGCGTGAAAGCCTGGAAGCACGCAGAGTGGAAGGAGCAGATCCTTGTTCCAGCACTGCCCCAGTCCATTCTGCAGGGCTGTAGCCTCATACATATCGACTACTACATCCAAGTGAGTACCTGAGTGCTCCTGGGGAGCTCCAGTGGGCTGTGCTGCAACTTCTGTGCTCTCTTCTGAGTTGAGCTCAATCGCTGAACTCCGTAGCTCTGTGGTGCGGGGGGCCTTTGCATCAGGTGAACCTTCCCAGCACAAGCTCTAACGAAGAGGATGCCACTGTTTTTTCTTCTCTTACAGATTTCCCTCAAGTCTCCAGAGGTTTCAGTCACTCTCCCCATTTATATCGGTAACATTGCTGTGAACAGGGTGCCTCTGAGCCCCTCCCGGTCCATCCAGCACATCCCGTCTGCAGTGGTACCCAGTGCCCCGCCAGAGGAAGAGGAAGCTGCCAGCGGTTATCACCCCATGGACAATGTCTCGATCCCCACCAAAAGCCATTCCCAGCAGCAGCCATTTAGCTACGCCCCAGGACTGAGCTTCCAGGAGATAAGGGTGGACTCGGAGCAGACGGGCTCCCCAAACCACCCCACGCTCTGCTTGTCAACAGGAGCCACTGTCCCTTACTACGCTGAGGGGAATGTGGTGCCTGTCCCCACAGCCAGCTCCCTAATTTTGCCTCCAGAGTACAGCACGTGGGGCTACCCATACGGTGAGCAGCCCGCTCCTGAGATCTACATGGGCTGGCAGCGTGGCGGTAAACGTCTCCTACCACAAGAATCTCTTCGCTGGCTGTGAACTGGGTGGGAATATAGGGATGTCAGCCTGCCGGGGACTGATATCAGAAGGGATCATGAGGTTTCTCTGCCTGCTTTAGTCTCCAGAGGAGTCCCCTCTAATAGCTCTAAAAGCCCGTTGTCCGTTCCCACATCTACTCCCGTGCCTGCCCCAGGCTCATCATGAGAGGATCTCCCTGTTCTTAAATGAGCTTTCAGCCTCCCACTGATAGAAAAACTTTTTGGCTTGTGGTGAGGCTGGTGGGAGCAGAGCCAGGAAAGTGATGTAACTGAAATCCTCTGTCTGACTTGGAGTGGGCCTGCAGCTGGTCTGAAGACACAAGCCGTGGGGGTGGGAGCTGAGAGACTGTCCAGGGTGGAAAAGCTGGGGGAAATCCCAGCATGCTGGATTCCTGGAGCCGTGCTTGTCCCAGGTGGCTGGAGTGGCAGGGACCAGCAGCGTCTGTTAGCACAGACAGACTGTTAGCACAGTCCTACCCAAATAAACCCGCCTGTTGGCACTGGGGTCACAAGACACTCAATGTGGTGCTTCAGCCCGGGCTTGGGGCACAAGGAGCATGGATCAGCTGTGATCTGGAGGTGCTGGAGTACATGAGGATGCTTGTGAAAGAAGGGGAGGAACAGAACAGGACTTTGAGGTGCTGATTTTAACCCCTGTAGGACAGGGAGGGACTGGCTGGCTCAAATTCTGCGTGTGCACATACAAACCCCATATATTTCAGCGGGGCAGGTTGTAGAGTCCTGGAGAGAGAGTGCCTGCATGCATGACACCTGTACATGGTAGCAGTTTGCTTTACTGTGCACCGAGTTACAGAGACCGAGGTGAAGGGAACCTCCCAAACACCCACCATAACTGCTCTTATTCTTTCTTTCCCCCGCAGAGGCACCTCCATCCTATGAGCAGAGCTGCAGCAGTGCCACCTCCAGCATCAGCAACGGCAACTAGCCCCTCCTGCTTCGAGTCCTGCTGGCGCTGCCCACCCCCGGGCGCCACGGTTCACCTGCCTACTGCGAAGTCTGGTACAGCACAAGGCGTTTTATCTCTCTGGCTGCTTGGTGGAGTAAATGGCACATCCCAGCCTGGGCTTTTTAAGTCTCTTTCTAGGGAGGGGGGGAAAAAAAAACCACAAAAAGGGCAGCCAAAGCAGCCTGCGTGCGTGTGTAGGAGAGGTCTGGGAAACAGAACCATCTCCTTCTGCTGCACCAAGTGCTGCAGAACTGGTTTTGCCCCAGGGATGCCCTCTGCAGCAGCCTGTGTTTAAAGTACTGTAGTCAACACTAACTGCTTTACTATCAAAGCACCTGCGATGCCTTATCTGAAATGCTCCTGACTTGGCATGTCTCCATGAAGGCTGGGCTGTGTGGACTTCCTCTTCTCTTTTAGGGGCCATGTGCTCTCCAGAAATGGTTTTGACAGCCCTTCCTCCTTGTCCTTGTAGGTCCTAAGGCTAGCTGAAACAGGAAGCTTCTTGGAGTAAGCAGGTTTGGAAGGTCAGGGACTCTTAAAAAGCCAAAAGCACAAGCCCTCACTATACCTGTGTTGTGGGGTGACGGGCAGCCTTTAGTCCTCTCGCAGTGGGCTGCACCGCTGCCTGCATGCGGTGAGAGGAGAGCAGGCTCTGGCAGTGCTCTGAGGAGGCCCTGGTGAGCTGTGGAGGGAGAGCCCGCTGTTACCGTGGGCTTCTGGCCTTTTTCAGCAAGGGTGACTTTTCTCGGAAGAGCCCTGTAGGAGACAGTCCATCTTTGCTCGCTGCTAGACCGCAGCGCCCGGGATGAACAGTGCTAGTCAGTCTGCAAGCAGGGGGACCAGACTCCTGTGTCCCCTTTCCCACCCCTGCAGGGTGTCCTCTCCATCCCAGCTGCCGCTGCCTTTGGCAGGCCAGGATTACATGACAATCAAGTTACAAAAGTCTGTCCAATGCTACCTCTGAGTCTGCCCGAGGCCCCTGTCCATGGAAGCCCTTCCCTTGGGGACGACCCTCCCTCGAGGCTCAACCTGGCATCTCTCGCAGGAGCGGTCACCGCTGCCAAGCCCGTGTGTGAGGGTGCTTGGCCCTGGGGACTGTCCTCTCCGCGTACTGGTTTACCGCTTGTCTCCTGAGCCGCCTCTCGAGCCACAGCAGGATGCGAAAATGAGCGAGTGGGAACACAAACTGCTGCGCCTCATTTGCCGCCTCCGCTGGACCTGGCAGGTCGGGGGAAGAAGCTGGTGGATGTAAAACAACATTTTTCTTTTGCGCTTTTTTTATTCCCCCCCTTTTGTTTAGTTTTTTTTAGTATTGACTGCCCAAGCTGAGGAAACCACAAACCAGATACTTAAGAGCTGCAAGCATCCAGCCACGGCTGAAATTGTGGCCTGCAGACCTTTGGCAGTCTGAGAATTGGCCTCCTCACGCTGGGCGGGCAATATCTAACAAACCTGTTGGGAGCACTACAACCTCTGCACACCCCTGGCAGGCAGCTGGGGACAAGCCCTGCTTTGCACTCTTTCTTTGCAAATGCTTTTTTTTTTTAAGTGTTGAATTGCTTTAAGGATAGTGTAGAGAAGGTGCCGTTCTGAGCAGTGCTGGCACAACATGCACCAATGTTGATAGAATGATTGTCATGGTCCTTGAATATATATATATATAAGATGAAGTTTTGTTTTTAATGATTACATTCATAAATACAAATTTTAATGCTGTATTTAATAAATTATTCTAAGAGAAATGCTGTGCTTTTTCATCCATTTGTGATGCTTATCCATGTGCCTGTTCATGCCAAATCCAGGAATGCACCTCGCTGATTTGTTACAAAACGCAGCAAGTTTTCTTGCTCTCACCAGGAAGGATGGTGACTTCTGCCAAGGCAGTTCAGGGAAAACAAGCACGCTGCAGCCTGACTGTGATGCTGAGCTCCTAGTTCCAGATGGCTGGAGGGAGTCTGGCACCATGTGGGCTCGGCTCTGGAGAGAGCAGCCACTGCACTGCTGCTTCCCCAGCTCTGTGTCCCGACGCCATGGTTTGTCTCAGTGCCCCACAGGTCTCGGGCAGTGCTCTGCTGTCTGACTGGAGAGGTGGGCTGGGGGGAGGAAAGGGAGAGTGGACTCTCCCTTCAGGAGGATGGAGATGGCACAGCCACGGTCTGTCTGGAAGGGCTGGAGACCATCAGCCCATGTCCTCTCCTAAAGAGCCATTTGAAATAAACTTATTAAAAATGGAAGAAGGCTCCTCCCCACACCCACAGTTTGGTGATACCATGTCTGAAGCATGTAGGTGTTGCCCAGATGTTGTTGCAAGTAGCCTGAGGTGTGATCTGAGTCTCAGACACAACGATCCTCCTTCACCTTCTGCTCAACTTACACTTCTGCCCGGCTTTTATTATTTAAGACTCTCTCCTTTGCCTGGTCTGTGCTTGCCATGAAAAGTGTTCCTGAACAGGAACGCAGGGGGTCAAAGGCAGGGACTTGTTTGTTCCTGACTGTATGTCTCTTCCCCAGTGCTGCTCCTCTTCCTCCCAGTTAGTTGAACCTATTTTGCCTACTCAGCCCGTAGCTCCTGTGGCCTTCCTTGCTGTCGGCAGTACGTATCCCTCCTTTCAGGCCTCGACCCAAATCCCTTCCACACCTCTGGAAGAATTCCTATGAGCTTTTGATGCTTCTGGACGTGCTGGGTTGGGCTACAGGCTCCTGATCCAGCTGGGGGCTGGGAGAAGCAGCCTAGGCTGGGACTGGGTTCCTGGTTCCTTGTTCTCCACCCCTGAAGCTGAGCTGCTGGTGACGTGTCCAGCCCATGTTCCTTGGCTGGAAAACTTTAATGCTGTTTGGTTACTGTGGCCAGAGCCACTGGGATGCCCTTCTGCATCCCCAGCCAGCATCTGTCCTCCTCATTTAACCTTTACAGTTGGGAATGCACTGGTCATGGTGGAGAGGAGAAGCCAGCTGTCTCTCACGCAGCTCCTGGGTTGTGCCCTGCGTCTCTGCACTGCTCTGGTGCACCTGAGCTTCCTCACCCGAACTGTATATGCTACAAACTGGTCCTTCAGCACCTCTTGCTGTACACTGTGTCCCCTGTGCAAAGCAAGGAGCAAGTGGGCATGCTCTTCTTCACTGGCGAGGAGGGTCCACCTCTGCTGGCTGCTGTGGTGGGAGCAGGAAGGAGTCTGAGCTAGACTTCATGGTGGTCCTTGTTCTTGTGGATAATGGGGCTGGCTGGGCATGCACAGCTGCTGCAGGGAGAGGTCTGTCTTGGACCAGCGAGGTGGCTCTGGCCGGGGCGCAGCAGGGTATCACCCCAAGTTTGTCTCTGAGCAACCTCGCTGTTGTGCAAGTGGGCAGAAATAACCGGCGAAGCGCTGTGGTTTGCAACGTTCCTGCCCAGCCGTGCCTGCTCCCCAGCGCTGCGGCAGGGAATTGAAGCCTGACACAAAGAGCCTTGTTTATGTTGCATTCCCCCCTCTGAATGGGTCCAGGGCTGCAGGAAGGAGGAGTTAGTCCAGCTCTTCTTAAACCTACTCGCAGCTGTGGCCCCAGGGTGCTACGGCAGCAAGGTCCTTGGGGTACTTTGGACGAGCACGATGGGTCAAAACCCAACGTTTGGGGTTGAGTCTATTCCCCTCTGGAGAGGGAGAGAGGACAATCGCTCTGTCCTCTGCCTCACTGCTGGCTCCCTTCTCTGCAGCCTCTCCGGCTTCAACCGCTAACTCACGGGCAGCTCCTGTAGGCCCCGGGTCACCCCTCTCTCCTCTTTCTGAGCTCTGGAATAAAGAGGAAAAAAGCTCATTTTCTGCCCCCAGCTCTGGGTAAAAAACTTCAGCTGGTTGGAATTCATTCAAATTCTTGGCTCAAATTTTTAAGCAATGGTTTTTTAGTTTTGTTTGAAATGGGGAGGGGAAGTGGGTGAGCTAATTGTTTCCAAACTCAGCATTCAATGGAAAATACCAAAAATACCATCTGTCCTTTTTTTTTTGCTGCTGCTGCTTCTTTGTCCCTTATGGTTTTGTTCTTGTCCCACTCTCCACATGTGCCGCTTCCATATTTTTGGCTTTTTCAGTGTTGTTTGTGGCCTGCGAAGCTCCGCTTTGGCACCTGTTGTCCTGCAGGAGATGGGGAACGCGGAGACAGGGGACACGAAGGCTCTTCTTGTCGTTGCATGGTGATGCTTTTTTAGCTTTCCACTGAACTTGCAGTAGTTTTGTAAAAGTAAATATTTTCTGCTAGGAAGTTTTCCTGTTGAGCCACCACAAGAGACAGATAAGGGGTGTTCCGGGGTCCGTTTGGTTTTTATTCTGTATTTTAAAGTATTTCCAACTGTCTGCAACAGGAACGTCTGTCCCATCCCCCTTCCCCAAGAGAGACTGGTGGGGTAAAACCCTCAAAACTTGTGCCCTTTCTTGTACCCATACTCGTGGATGTAATTCTTTATTCCTGTGGTTCTCTTTACAGATTTTGGGTTTTTATACAACAATATTTGTGATGGCTCTGTACAACCTAAGACTTCTGTGTGATTTATTACTGGGTTTTAAAATGTAAATGATAAGTTTTACATGTTTACCATGGTTTCTGGGGAGTATTTTTGTCCTGGGTTTTACACCACCAAATGTAAAGAACTAAAAAATGTAAATAAACATCTCCTTTTCTAAGAGCATGGGTGCTTTTGCTTGGGTTAAATGTGTGATGAGCGCCGTCTGTATGCCGAGACTTGCCGGGAGGGCCTGGCACTACA